TATGCCAATCCACTTCACCAGCATAAACCACCTGGGCCTGCAGTTGACCTCGTTTTAGTTTGCCCCTTCCTTGGTATAATTGTCTTGTAGGCACAATAGCTTTGCAAAGCTCTGGAGTGCCAGACCCTGGCTTCACTGTACTGCCTTCAGCACCAAGGCCAGAGGCAATGAAACTGATTTTATACTCATGCTCCTGGCCTTCCTCCCTGCTTAGCCTCTCCTTGCTGACTGGCTGGCTAGGTTCCTTGAGTTCCAGCTCTGGAGAGAGAAACAACCTTGCAAAGACTGCTCGGACTGTCTTGTATTGTATATGCTGGGGAATGTCATGAGGAGTATTGGACTAAGAATCTATAGCAGAGGTCTTCAACCTTCCTAATGCTTCAACCTTCAAGCCTTTAATACTGTTCTTGTTGTGGCGACCCCCAACTATAAAATTATTTTGTTGCTACTATATAACTGTAAATATCTGACATGCAGAATATCTGATATGCAGCCCCCAAAGGGGTCGCTACTCTCATATTGAGAACCACTGACAGAGAGAAAAGAATATCGACTTTGCTATTCTCCTTTGGAGATTTGTTGCTTCAAATCATTGGCTGAGACACTGAAAAGACAAGAGCCAAGCAAAGGCTGAGAGGCTACAGACTGAGCAGAGTTTCTGATCTTTCATAGATCTTACAGAGAAATGGTTTCTCCAAGTCCAGTAATAGGAGAGAGGCCTTGATAAATGTCTCACAGTCAACTGCCTTAGTAATAACTGCATCAAAACAGATCAGGTGTCAGGACTAATGACCAGTTTTTAGTTAGCTAGATTCCTGATTACATTCATGTGACCTGCCCTGAGCCTCACGGATTGTAGAAGCAAAGAGAAATTTTACTAGAGGAAGAAAAGGTAAAATTACACCTACATACACACACACAAAAACAAACAAACAAACAGGTATTTAAATTTAAAAGTTACAACTGAGAAAGCCACGAGAAAGAAAAAGCAACTAAAACAAGAGGTCAAGAATAGGGTTTGCTAGATAAAAACTTTCAATGACTGATGATACATACAAATACCAATTAAACAGAAAACAATGGCAGGAAATAAAATGAAAATTAGATACAATGATTGAGTGGGTCGTCACATTGAATCTACCATCAGCAAGGAGAGAAGATGAATGTTTATGCTCAGTTAACTTTCTTCTTTTTATGCAGTCCAGGATCCCAACCAGAGGAACACTGCTTCTTGTGATGAGCGGGCCTTGCTACCCCAATTAATATATTCAAGAAAATCTTTCACAGACATGACAAGAGGCCCATATTCCAGGTGACTCTACATCTCATCAAGTTGATAATTGAGATTAGCCATCACAGATGGTCTTAGCAACAGATTAACAAAGACTGCAGAAAGCTTAATGAACCAAAATATATTCAGAATGAAGTACAGAGCAGCAAAACAGCTAAAAACAAAATGAAGATAAGGACATGGTACATAAAAGATGTGCAAAGCATAATTGGAATTCCAAAGGGGAAGCAAAAAAGGTATTAACAGCATTTAATGTGAGCCTCGAAGGTTTTTTTAATTTGCATGAATCAAAGACATATTTGTGCTCCTCTGTTCACTGCCTCAACATCTACAACAGAAAAGATACAGAAACAACCTAAATATCAAGCAATAGATAAATAGATTTTTTAAAATGTGGTACAGTCCTATAGTGGAATGAGATTCATCTTGAAAAATATAAGACAACCTTGTCATACACAATAGCATGTGTGAACCTGGGGACATTCCTCTGACTGAAATAGCCAGCCATATAAGCCGAAATATTCCATGATTTCATTTATTTGAAGTACTTAAAGTTAAGAGGCAAATAGAAGCAGAAAGGCTCTCTACAAGTTACACGAATTACAGTTATACAGTAGTTATGCAGTTTTACAAGGTGCCTGCTGAGCTTGTGAAGTCTAGCACACCAGCATGCCGTGAGTTAAGCACTATGCTGTGTATTTAAAGTTTTGTTAAGAGAGTTATCTTATGTCACAAGTTCTGTCCACAACTCTATCATCTGTCTGTCTTTGTATAGATTCAAGATGTAAAATAAATCTCAAGCAAGAATACAATAAAAACTTAAAAACTGCTCTATCTAATATGGCTATATTAAAACAATATCAAAGAGAAACTTTTTGACAAGATGCCTCATCATCAACAGGCAACCATAGAACTGAAGATAATTGCCCAATTATAAACAAACAAACAAAAAAGAATGAAATCTTTTAAATACTGAAAGTGAGTACCTGTCAGATTAAGATGGTATGCATAGTAGAATAATCCCCCAAAAATAAACATAAAATAGATCCATTTCAAAGCTAAAAACAGAACAGAAACACAGGTATGGGAGCCATCAGCTCCTGGTAAAGATACATCAATGTCTAAATAACCATAGCCTTCTAAACAAGGATAATATTGTCTGTGGGTTTGAAATAGGAAATCTAGATAGGACTTGCAAGTGATAGCTCAAAGAAAGACAACACCATTACAATTAGATGGAATAAACTTCAAAGCAAGAAGCATTACTAGAAATCAAGGGAGAAATGTGCACACTTCCTAAGGACAAAGGAGTCAACTCACTACAAAGGTATTAAAGTTGTGGGATACTTTCTACCTAATAGCCTAGCCCCAGAATATGTAAGCCAGATGTTGATGTAACTTAAATAAACATGAAAACCCACAATCATATTGGAAGGCATAATTTTTATCATACTTGTCTCATTGATTTCAGTAATAAAGCATTAATAAAAAAAAGAAAGATCTGAGCTATTTGGCCTAAATGACTATCTAGAACACCTGAACTTTGCACTCCTTCAAACACACAAACAATATTTACCAATCTATTTCAGAAATAAAGGTGTATCTCTCTTGTATCACAGTTCCTGTCAAGATTAAAACAGTCCTGCAGGGAAGATCTTGAAACAGGAAATAAACCATTCAAAGCACCTTCAGGAAGTCCCTGAAACAAACCAGATTCACTAGGCCCCACCCTGCCAGAGTAAGCAATAAAGGCTGAGAGTCTCCTTCAGAACAGGAAGCAAAACTGCAAAGAAGACTCTGAGATCAGACCAACTGCCTAGAAGAAGTAGAAATAAGCTGAGCTTTCTGGAAGACATTTAGAGCAACTGACGCACCTGGAAAGGACACTCTCCAACCTGTTGAGCTGCCTGCAGTGTGCAGTGTGCTCCAGGTCCCTAACCTTGTGAGCTGTCACCTATGCTAGAGTGGGCTTCAGGGATGTGGCTATCCTTGAGTCATTTTTGCTCCTATAATAATCCCTCACCAATATTCCTGTAAGTAATGCCAATAAAACTCACTAGTTCACCAAGATGGACTTGGATGGTATCCATACTTTGGTCTGGCCTGGATTTCCTACTTGAAGTGAATAGATGTGTATGTTGCATCTCCCCAAGGAAAGTCTTGTTACACAACAAGCTCTCTTAAAGAGGAAAATGCAAATCAATTCTGGCAATACATAAAAAGGGTAATACATCATAATCACAATGGCTTTATTCCAAAACTGTGACCCATACAAGGAGAGATTAGCATCTGAAAAATCAAGCAGCAATTTACCACATTGACAGAATAAGAGAAATATATGATCATCTCAAAAAGTGCAGAAGAAAATTGATGCACACTCACACAAATTCAATTTTTTTAAAAAATGCATTGTATACTAGAAATAGTTCTTCCATTATCAAATAATTAACTATAAAAAATTCCTGTACCATGAATCAGATGAAGAGTCAATTATTGGGAGATGCACCTCTCAGGTTGGAAATAATACAAGGATAACTAGAAGTTAAGACACAACTTATCATCAGGGTACACTATTTTTCATATGGAAAATTAGAGTATCTCTAGGTAAAACATAATCTTCAATGCTTTCATAATTCTGCGATTGTAATAAAGAAATTGACTTTAAAAAATCAATGTAATTGCCAGGTGGTGGTGGCACATGCCTTTAATTCCAGCACTCGGGAGGCAGAGGCAGGTGGATCTCTGTGAGTTCAAGGCCAGCCTTGGCTACAGAGTGAGTTCCAGGAAAAGCACATAGCTACACAGACAAACCCTGTCTCGAAAAACAAAACAAAGCAAAAACAAAACAAAAAAATCAATGTAATTACTTTAGAAAATAGAAATTTAGAAAACAGAAAATTAACATGTATTCTTTTTTAAAGTGTATGGGTATTTAGCATGCATGCATGTTTGTGCAGTGTGTGTGTGCCTGGTATCTCCAAAGGTGAGAGGAGGGCATTGTCCCCCTGAGACTGGCATTACAGACAGTTGTGAGTGATCCTGTAGGTACTGTGATTGAACACAGCTATGGAAGAGCAGCCAATGTTTGTAACCACTGAGCCATCGCTCCAGCCTCAGAAAATTAGCATTTAAGAAACAAAGTGGGTGTGTTCTTGAGGTGGTAGACTTAGATGTCAGAGATAACAGTACTCCCCATATTAATGCACTTCAGATACCACTGTCATCAAAAGCCTAGCATTTATTTTCTATAAACACTTATTAATTTTCTTGCTAATTATAAAGGTAAAGTAAGATAAATTATGATGTTTATGGGAAGTGACAAATAGACAAACAGAGCAGAATTAAAACCCCAAAGTGGTGTGTGTGTGTGTGTGTGTGTGTGTGTGATGTGTGCTGATAAAGATGCCATCACAAAACAAGGCTGGTACACATTTGTGAAGGAGTAATATCCTTAAAGTAAAAAAGCTGGATTAGTTAGATACTTTGAAATACTCATGTCAGTTTACCTTGATTAGCAGTTTGACTGGACTCTGAATCAACTGAGAAGCAGACTTGGGAGTGAGTCTGTGAAGGCATTTCCAGTGAGAATTAACTGATGGGAGAATACCCAACACCAGAGTGGGTGGCATCTTGCCATGGTGGCCCAGATATAGAGACTGAAGAAAAGCTCAGTGTTGCTCATCTGCTTACTTCTGTTTCTCGATGGTGATTGCATTTATCCTGTCTCTGCTGCCTCTGCTGCCACTCTCCACCAGCATCAGAACCCAGCTTCTTTACCTCCTGAAGTGGGCTGAAGATCATGGCAGTTCAAGAATCTTCCAGGCCTCTGGAACCAGAATTAAGACTACTAAAGCATCCTGCATCGTGGACTGAGCTGCTAACTGCCTCTCAGACTCTCCAGCGTGCAGTACCCAGGCACTACTGGTTGTAAGTCATTCTAGAAAATCCCCTTGAATAACACATCCATTCTCTATGTCTGTTCCTCTAGGGATCCCTGCTAATAAAATCTTCAAAATGAACCTGGACCTCTACTCTTAACATAACAATCATTTCCAAGTGGAATGTAGATCAGAATACTAAAGAAAAGATTTAAAGTTTTAAGTGATAACTGCAGAGACTATCTTCATGACATTAGGATTAGGGAAAGATTACTTTTAAATGACACAAAACCCACTAAGCATAAAGGAAGATTGATAAATCATAGTTAATGAAAATTGGGACTTTAAAATGGCCATAAATTGAGTGAAAAATAAGCCAGAGTGGAAAGTGTATTTGTACTACTTATCACTTAAAAGGGTTCACGATAGAGCTTTGTATATATATAAAATGTTAGTGTGTGAAAGGAATGTTTACAATTCAAATGAGGGAAGTGTGTAAGGAGAAGGTGAATCCCCAGACAAATACCAACAAGTAACTTAATTTGCATTTTTTTAAAGTGAGAGAATTTGCATAGACAAAAAGCCTGCAAAACAACTGATCAAATCCATTGATCACCTGGCAAAACACAAATCAAAACCACAAGGAGATAATATGGCAGAAACATCACCATGCCTAAAACTAAAAATCAATGCGTATCTTAGTTAGGGTTATCATTGCTGTGACGAAACATCATGACTAAAAGTAACTTGGGGAGGAAAGGGTTTATTTCACTTACGCTTTCAGGTAACAGTCCATCACTGAGGAATGTGATGGCAGGAACTCAAACAGGGAAGGAACCTGCAGGCAGGGGTTGATGCACAGGGTATAGAGGGGTGCTGCTTACTGGCCTGTTCCCCATGACTTGCTCAGACTGCTTCCTTATAGAATTCAGGACCACCAGCCAAGGGTGGTCCCACCCACAATGAGCTGGGGCCACACACATTGAGTGTACCTTAGTGTTTTGAGCAAATAAGTCTCTGAAAAACTACTGCTAAGAATGTAAATTGATACTACTGGGAATGTCTGCTAAAGTTAAATGCATACATACTAAGACTCAGCAATTTTGGTTTCAGTTATTTGTCTTAAATAATTTTATCCAGGACATACACAAGGTATTCTGGACCAAAGGTATATATATATATATATATATATATATATATATATATATATATATATATATTATAGATGTTAATACATACATATATGTATGTGTGTGTGCCCTTAAATGCCTGCAGATCTAATCTTCATAGTATATGAAAATAATTCCAAGAGATATAAAAGTATATCTCTAAAGCATATAAATAATATATATAATTATATAATATATAGTTATATATTATAATATTATATATATTTTTACTACTTCACAGTGAGTCCTCTAACATGCCAACCATTTCACACTTCTGCCTGAGGTTATACAGGGAGATTAGTGGACACATCTCATAAACAATGGCAAGATTCCCCATGGCTGGGGACAAGTAGATGAATTTTTCTCTCCCTGCCTTGAAATGACACTCTCAATTATAGTTTTTTTCACATGTAAATACATTTTTTTCCAAATGCAAAGTAGTCAGGGAGTCACCTCAGCATCTCAGTGGACAGAGCAGCAACCTCCAGAATGAGGTTGACCTGAGTGCCTCTCCTGACAGTTATAGGGAGAAGGTAAAGGGTTTGGGATATATGTAAGTGGACTTTTTTCCACTACCAGCACCAAATAACAACACTGAAACATTGTGAATTATGAAAGGTCAAGCCTGGTGGTGGTGGTCCATGCCTTTAATCCCAGCACTTGGGAGGCAGAGGCAGGTGGATCTCTGTGAATTCAAGGCCAACTTGGTCTACAGAGTGAGTTCTAGGACAACCAGGGCTACACAGAGAAAACCTATCTTGAAAAAAAAATATGAAACCTTAGCCTATAGCTTAGGCTTGTTCCTAACTAACTCTTATAACTTAAATTAACCTGCTTTTATTAATCTACATTCTATCACATGGCTTTTTACCCTTTTTTTAATTATGTATGTCTGACTCCCTCCACGTCTCATTGGCATCTCTTCTGTGCCTCAATTATCTCTTCCTACCTCCTCTTTCTGCCTGGAAGTTCCACCTATACCTCCTGCCTAGCTATTGGCAGTTCAACTTTTCATTTCACCAATCACAGCAATGCACCTTCACACAGTGTACAAATATCCCACAACAGAATATATAGATGTTAATACATATGTATGTGTATGTGTGTGCCCTTAAATGCCTGCAGATCTAATCTTCATAGTATATGAAAATAATCCTAAGAGATATAAAAGTATATCTCTAAAGCATATTAAGTATATTTGCTTCCCTGGCTCAGGCTATTATTTATTTATGCTTTAATTATATGCATGTGTGTTTGTCTCTGTGGGATTATGTGCACTTGAGAGCAGGTACCCACAGAAGACAGAAGAGAGCATCAGATACCTGGAGCTATAGAGTTATAGGTAACTGTAAGCTGCTTGACATGGATTCTGGAAAATGAATCTTGCAAGAACAGAAAGTGCTCCTAACTGCTGAGCCTTCTCTCCAGCCCCCTGTGGATAGAACTTTTGACAAGAACATGGGAGTTTCAAGTGAAGTTCTATTTTCCCCAGATTATACAGCCAATAGAAATACATGCACATGTACACCAAGAACACATTCAAGAATGTTCATAGCAGCTTGCTTGTAAAAGCTCCAGACTTAAACCCAATGTCTACACAATAGAATGGAAAATCATCTATTGCATTGTGCTCATAAAACAGAATCCAATATAGGCATAAATGTAGAAGACTTTCTATTTCATGCCACAACATAGATAATTCTCACACACAGCTGTAAGCAAAAAAAAAAAAAAAAAAAAAAAAAAAAAGCCAGACATAAAAGAATGCATACCATTCTTACTCTATTGAAATAAAACCGAAAACTAAGTGATGTGTACTAGCCCACCTCTCAGTGGGCTGAGGTGACAGGATCACTTTTGCCCACAAGTTCAAGCCACTTGGTAGCACAGCAAGGCCCTGGCTTAGACCTGGAGTAAAAATAAGAACTAATTCGTGACTTTACAAGTTGAAATTCTGGTTGCAAAGGTAGGAAAATGGTGATAGGGTGGGGACCAAGATGACAAAATCAGAACCTTGGAGTAATGTCCTTTGTCTCGGTGGGCACTGATCACATAGATGTGTTCATTCTGTAAAAACTCATCAAGAACTTCAACATAGTCTTGAAACTTATGTGTATTTAAACATTTTATATTGGGAGGAAAAAAGGAATCAAGTTCTCATTGGGGCTCAGCAGTTCTCAGAGAATCCAGATAAGTGAAGCTCCCTGGCTCTGCAATTCTAGAATCAAAAGCAGAGGCAACATAGACTATGCCTTCCTCTGTCTCTCCCGTCCCCCCACTGTTCTCACTTTCTTCTCTTTCCACTCAAGCTGGCTTGCCAGAGAAAGACACATGAAGTTGTAAGTGTACATAATGGCATGGCTAATACTGTTAGTTCTCATGTGATATACTTCATGGACAGCATGCAGCTTTTGAGGTTCTGGTCTTGCAGTGTTGCTATAATAATTAGCAAGAAGCTGGCACCTGTAGCCTATAAGCAGAGACATGCAGACATTAGTTAAAGTCAAAAGTTCCCCATTCTGAGTCCTCCAGATGTCTCAGTCAGCAAAGACACTTGCCTCCAAGGCTGACAATGTGAGTTTGACTCCTAGGACCTAGATGGAAGGGGAGAACTGACTCCCAAAAGTTGTGCTCTGACCTCTACTTGGACAAAGTTTACATTTGTACACCCACACACAATAATAAAATGAATAAAAGTGTAATAATGTTTAAGTTGCCCCTTCTATATCTCTTGTTAAATATTTTAAATGTTTATATTGTCTAAGCAAAAGGGGAAGCTTTCATTCCACAGCAAAGATAGACTAATTATACATTTAAACCGTAACTCCTCCATAATGAAAACATGCTGACCACTGAAAGAACAACATACCTCAATCTGACAGCTTTCTGCTCCAAAGGGGGCCTTCAGGTGATAGCAAGGAAACCAAGAGCTCTCTCTAATGTTCCAAAGCAATTTTCTAATGCTAGAATCATTCCTTCACACACCTGCAAAGGATTCAGAAGCCCATGGGGAAGTAAACATTTATTTCAAAAATAAACTTTAAAGTTTGGAAATAAAAACAGACAAGCTGTTTTCTTGTGTTACAAAATGTGGCTCAGTGCTACCAGAGGTGCTGTAATTAGACTTTCAAAGAGCAGCAATAACAGGTGACAATGTACTTGGAGACATTCAAGCGAGTACACAGCTGAACAAGTGCAATTTACATCCATTACACACAGATAAACACAGAGGACTAGGAGGCAGGGGGCGAGAGTTCTCCTTCCGCCCTTACCACTGACTATATGGATTTCCTTCTCTGCATAATAGGAGTGAGAACTAACTCTTGCTCCATCATGAGAAGCAAATGACCAATGGAAAAAATTCTCCCAACAGAAGTAACTTAGTAATTACCATTTGTAGGGGCTGCAGCGGCAGCTCAGTTGGTAGCGTGCTTGTCTAGGATGCATGCATGAGGCTGTAGGTTCCATCCCCCGCACTGCACCAAACAGATGTTGTGATGCGGGACTGTGATCCCAGCACATGGGAGTTAGAGACAGAAGGATCAGTATTCAAGGCCATCCTCAGCTACATAGTGAGTTCAAAGCCACCCTCGGTGATACGTACTCCTATCTCAAAAAAAAAAAAAAACAGATAGTTGGGGCTAGAGAGGTGTCTCAGCAGTTAAGAGCATCTGTGGCTCTTCCAGAGGACCCAGATTTTGTTCCTGGCACTATCCAGCAGCTTACACCCATCTATAATTCCAAGAAATCTCTTTCCTCTTCTGGCATCATCAGGCACCAGGCAGACATGCAATAAACATGCGTGCATACAAGCAAACATCCAAACACATAAAATAAAAACAAATGACTCTTTTTTAAAAAAGAAAAAGATCATGATAATTCCTATTAAAATCAGATGGAGCCTTTGTTTTCCTTTTCCTTATAAGCTCCTTTTCTTTATTTTACATTTTCTCCCATTCTCCTCCTCATTCTCCCCTTTCCTCCATTGCCTCTTAAAACTTCAGCTAAGTTACTTTTTCTTGTTTGTTACCCAAAATTGATTTAGTTTCATTGAGTCATTGGTTCATATAAGAAAAATAAGAAAGTTTTCTTTCTGTAGTCTAAAAGAATCATCCCTGAGTTTATTGGAATAACAGAGTCAATTTGTTAGTGAACAATATTTCAGGGTCACAAGCAACAAACCTACTAGTGATTTTCCTTTCAGGGACATTGAACCTACACCACCTCATTTCTTTCAGCTGCCCTGTGCTCTCCCCTTGGGTGAGTATGCATCTAGAATGGCTTCCCTCTCTGTCCACTTTCTGAATGTTAAATGAGATCCTAGGCTCTCTGATCAATGTTAATCAATCAATAAGTACTTTCTTAGCATTTATAATATGCATGGCTGGTATTGGGTATTTGGAAAGCTGTAGTTAAGGCTGGTTTGCATTTTAAATATTTTGTAGTATTTTCAAGCCAGTAAAGACATTATATATAATATATATCATATATAAATATTATATTATATAGAGTAGAAAGGCTGAAAAAGCTAATTAAAATATCCATGACCTCAATGTATTACTTACTCTCCTATCTAACTGAAACCATCTCTTAATCAGCCTGTCTTCAACCTTCCATCTCTCCCCATTCATTCTTCCAATAAATATACAGGAGCTTTTATTGGGTGCGCTTGGGCCTTCTGTCAGAGATGCTAAAAATACCTTCACCTCAAGGATTTTCATCTAAAAGGGAAAAAAGGCCAGTAAATAAACAATTATTCTCTAGTACAATGAAGTAAGTACTGTGGCAGCCGGGATGAGGCTCTGACAACTGTAGGAAAAGCAGACTGCCTCTGTGAACCCAGCAGAGCAGGAAGCAGCAAGGCAGGGAGCTGTTTTGTCCTTGGCTGTGGCGCTTGCTCTGCCCACTCCTCAAGGGCCAGCATTCTTCAGAGATCTTTGCAATGCCCTCCACGTTACTCGTCCCTTCTAGATCATTTATTTGGTTCCTCAATTTATACCCAGCTCTTAAAGAGTTTCCACTACCACATAGGATTAACCCTAAATACTAACTCAAACAGATGCCCTAATAAAAGATAAACCCTTATTAAATCCTAATGAGTAAACTGTGAATTTAGATGGAACATAGAATGCACAGAGCACAGAGTGTTTCTCCCAGCTTACTTGAAGCACCCATTCAAATAAGTTAATGCAATATCTTAACCGACAAAGATAAATATACCTACATAAACAGAGATCATTACAATGCAAAAAATGCTCCAATCTTTATTAGTATCATTGACTCATTAAATATTTGTCCTACTACATTGTATCTGTTCATGTTCCTTAAATCATAAATTCTGAGTAAAAAGTCTCTGAACCTCTCTTCAGACTGTTAGCAGTCAGTTGCTACCTAAGAATCAAGGACTGCATCAGCTGTCATTAGGTTTACTCAAAACAACTGCTCTTCCCATAAGGTGCATTGCCCCTTACAGGCATCATTCTAGACAGCAGCATGAAACAGCCACAGAACTGCCTCAAACACAAATTATTGTTACTTAAATTTGATAAAGATGAATAAAATATAGTTCATCCATGTGGTATGTGTGTGGAGGCAGATTAGACATGTTGTTCAAGACATCAGCAGTTTGTGTTCAGACAGATGGATTTTGTGTATCAATAACAGAAAACTTAACCAATGTTCAATAATCATAGGTAAATACATTTTAAAAGATTTACTTCTTATTTTATGTCTATGAATGTTTTGCCTGCATGTATACATATTTATCACGTGTGTGCCTTGTGCCCAAGGAGGTCAGAAGAAGACATTGGAGGCCCTGAAATTGGTGTTACTGATAGTTGTGAGCCACCAGGTGGGTCCTGGGATCTGAACCCTTGTTCTCTGCATTGAGACATCTCTCCAGTCTCACAAATACATTTGAAACATTCAACCAAAACACTCAAACTGTTTGTGATACATCTACTAAAAGGGATCTAACTAACACATGATAGGCATGTTATCATTGTACATCAAGGAGAAGAAGAACCTTCTAAAAGGTGTATAAAATATGGCTTAATCTACAACATCTCTGGGTGGAACCCAGCTCAGAACCTATAACACAACAAGGCCTACTCAGAGGCTTCTCTTAAGGGACTTGATGCTCCCAGGTCACCTGAGGAGCAGAAGGTCTGTGTGAGGACATTGGCCAAATGCAGAATCCTTTTTGGAACACTGGCTAAAGCATGTGGAGTTAAGATAGCAAAACCACTGACTTCAATTCTTTCAAAACACATAAATCTTTTGGCTCACCTACATCAAAGCCCAAAGTAATGTATTTTCAAGTTCAGTCTTTTTCTGATAGCTTAAAAATATAAACTAGCTGGGCTGGAGAGATGGCTCAACAGTTAAGAGCACTGGCTGTTCTTCCAGAGGCCCAGGTCTCAATTCCCAGCACCCACATGGCAGCTCACAACCATCTGTAACTCCATTTCCAGGGCACCCGACACCCTTATACAGACATACAAGCAGGCAAAACACAAATGCACATAAATCAAAATTTAAAAATATAAACTAGCTAGGAGTGGGGGTACATACCTGTAATTCAGAAATTGGTATGTTGAAAAGAAGGATCAAGTACATAAGAACCAATCTCTCTCTCTCTCTCTCTCTCTCTCTCTCTCTCTCTCTCTCTC